GTTTAATGACACCTCACATCGAAACAGTACTTAACTTGCAAATTTGTTGTGCCAGGACCAGGGATGCTGGAGTCGCGTCGTCTGCTTGCAGGGTGGGTCAGGATCAGGAACCAGGAGTGCCAACTGCTTTTCTCTCCTCTCTCCTCGCTTGAAAAGAAGTGGGGCAAGGGAGGGGCAGGATGCAGGACACCGAAAAAGGAAAAATGTTTGAATTTAATTTAGAAACTTTTCGAACAAAACAAAGTAAAACTACTGTGGGCGCCAGTTCGCAGAAGGCATTTGTGGCATCTGAAACATTTGAGGCATTTGCGGCATGTACATAGGGTACATGGGCATTTGCATGGGCATTTGCATCGAGGGCATTTGCATGGGAAGTTGCATCTGAATGGGTGCTGAGACTGGAGTATTGTTCGTTTTAAGAAAGTCTAAATGGTACTCCAAAGCAGCGATTTTGCATTTCTGAGAGTCAATTTTTTGATGCAAGCGGGCACACTCATCACACTTTTTGGAAGGGGGACCAGACGGCTTCTTCTGCTTGGGGTGCTTCGGTTGACTCTGCTGGCGCTCCGCCTGGCGTTTCTGCGGCTGCTTGGGCTGCGGGGGTTGCTGCTTGGCCTTTCGGCCGGGACCCTGCTGAGGTTGAGGACCCTTGCTGGCCGGTTTGGGATCCGGGCGGCGTTTATCCTTGGGGGCCTTGTCAGCCATCCGGGCAGCAACCATAGGAGGGGGCCTTGTGGGGCCAGCGGACGAGGGGCCAGCAGCCGGGGCAGCAGGGGCCACGACAAGAGCGGCGCCAGGGGTGGCGCCTGGGGTGGCACCAGGGGTGGCAGCAGGGGTGGCAGCAGGAGCCGTAGCTGCCATGGGCGCTAAAGCCCGCACTGGGGCTGCACACTGCTCAGGGGCAGCTGCAGGCACCGGGAGGGGAGGGAAATCCCCGAAAGTGAGGCCCATCGAGTTATCGAAGGTGAAGGGCTTTTCGACCTCCATCCTCGACTCGATTGCCATCCGGTCCAGGTCTGACGCCAGGGAGCAGGTGGAGGAGGGGGAACCGTGGTTCTCCAGGATGTTGAAGGACACTGGATAGGACAAGGATCAGGGTAGGAAAGTTAACCATTTGCCATTTTGGTCCAGCAGGTGCGAACCGACAGCAGCTAGCCGATCCACGTGCACGATGAGGCGCTTAGGGGGCTTGGCCCTCTTTGACAGCTCGGTGGGTTGG